GGAAAAGAGGGTGCCAAAATGCCCATCAATGTTGATTGATGATTATTTAGAACTTCACAAGTCAAAGAAAATGGATGCAACCAAGTCAAACAATGGAGAAAAAGCGGGAAACAATGTTAACCCAAGCTCTAGTCAAAATCAACCAAAAAAAAGGAACTCCACTAGAACGTGTTCAAAACCGGACAGGAGTCAATGAAGAAGAGGCAAACACAAATAGAGAAGAACAAAAATGTAACTAGTTTCGTATTTCATAATAATAATTTTATGTGTTATTTACATATTGGTAGCAAGCATGTGATATCATGTTGTTGTGTTGCTTACTTTATAAGAACATCTCAAAGAAAAACTCGTGGGAAAACTTTGTGCAAAAAGATTCATGCAAGAACTTTAGAAGAACGAGCAGAAGTGACCTTTAATGAGGATGGTCAGCCAATTGGTCCTAGTGATAAAGTAGTAACTGACTTAAGCCTCTTCTTGGGAGCATTGACTAGGAACTCAACATTTTGTCCTCTACGTTACACCAATTGGTCAGGAATGTCAGCTGATAATAAAAAATATTTCTAGAGATATACTAATGTATGTGTTTATCTATGAATTTGAATGTCTAATTGTTAAAAAAGTGTTTTATTTCTTGATTTTGTTTTATCTTATAATTTTTGTAGTGAAAGTTTATCTTGTCGGTTGAAGCTCAAGATTGGGTTGAGACCACTATTAGAGATGCATGGAGAAGATATAAGCACATAATTAAGAAGAATCATTTTTTGAAGTATTTCGACATAACCAAGAGACTCAAAAATCGTCTGCCAAAGGTGTCCATAGCTCAATTTATGAGTCTTTGTGGTTATTGAAGTAAGAAAGCTATACAAGTAAGATTAATAATTTTTTTTTTTATGTATGTGTGTTATTTTGCACCTTTCTATGTATGCCTAATCAAATAAGATTTATTATAATAATTTCGTCATATTTAAATGTAGGCAATCAGTGAAACTAACACTAGAAATAAAGCTCAACTAAAGTGGATGCATCAGATGGGTCCCAAAAACTTTTCTTTGACTCGTGAAAAAATAGTAACTGCCTTTCGTTCTCAATAAAGTATTCCTTGTATGAATAGTTATTTGCTCAATTAAAGTATTCGTTGGATGAATGGTTCTCTGAGCATTTTAATTCATGTCTTATTTTTGTAATAGGAATTTTAATTCACAGGTTGTTTTGTTAGGGAATTATTTTAATTTGTGCAACGTGAAAAGGAAAAAAAGAGAGCCCACTCAATCAGAAATGTTTGTTGAAACTCGAAAAGGAAATAAAGGAAAGGAGTTGGATGTTGAAATTGGAAAATTAATTGTATGTAACATTGTTTATATAGTATGTTTACTTAATATAGTCGACTTATATTGTCTATAATAATAGCTAATATTTTCTTGTAATTTATGCTAGTCTCAACTTCAAGAAATGTTTGAAAAGGAGGAAAGTGATACATAAGCTTTTAAAGATGTTTTTGGAAAGGAGTGTCCCGGAAGGGTACGCTGTTATAGAAGAAACAAACTAAAACTTTCTTAAATCAAAAGGTGGAGATTAATGCTTTGAAACAAGCACACAGTGAAAAGGTCTCTACATTTAAGAATGAGTTTCAATATCATATTGATAGATTGCAAAATGGTTTTAAGACCGTAATACAACAATTCAATCCTTAAATTAATTTCGAGTCAATTGAAGATTTGTTTGGATTATCTCACGGAGATGCTAACAATTCTCTAAAGGATATGAGACCGCAAATGTATTCCTCTACATCAACTCATGCTCCATGTCATGCAAAGGTAACCATATATACCAAAATTATTGATTTATGTTATTCTAATTATGTTATACTGTCTAAATTTTGGTTGTTAATGTATGCAAAAAGTTGTAAGTAGTAAAAAAAACCTAGAATGTATACAAGTGGATGAAATTGTTTAAGATATGTGTGCAAGGTCTGGTTCTGATTGTGCAAAATTTTGATTGTGTTGTTTGGTTGAAATATTGTTTAAGATACATGTGTAGGGTCTAATTTTGATTGTGTCTTGGGAGATAATGTTATCACTTTTGTATCTGGAGAGCCTAAATATTATAGTGTGATATGCTATGAGTGCAAGCAATTTAGGCACTTCAAAAATGAATGTCCCTAGTTGAAGAAATAAATACCAGATACAATACATTCTGGAAGTTCTAAGATCATTCTACATGGAATCTTGAGGTGAACTAGTGAAACCATTTGAGGTAAATTTAATGCTGCGAACATTAAAAGACGATAAGAAGGCTCATGCCACTCTATATAACTAGATGATTGGATACCTTAATTTTGTTTTCAACAACACGCATTCTATCACATTTGGATTGAGATTGGTTATCTAGTTTATGAGTGATCCAAGGATTTCACACATGGCAACAAAAAAACGAATAATTAGATACTTGAAGAAAGCTTAAATATTATAAATTACAAACAAAAATATTATATAAAATTCTTTTTTTATAAGTATAATTGTGTAGATTTCAACTGGATGCATTGAAAATTTCTATTTCTGAGATTAGTCTAAGGAGTAAGGACGTATCACACAGCATAGCCAATTCTTGTTATTGATGCAGCTGAAGAGTGAAGACTCTAGGATATTGGGGCATATAATTATATTATATAGCAGTTGTTCATTAGAACTGTGATTTCATCCAAAATTACTGTCAGATTACTTGACATGTTTTTTTTGGCAATGCAGTCTTTTATGTGAAACTAGTTAATCTAATGGTCCTGAAAGTCGTTTTACAGTATTGGTTGTAGTGTGATTTTTTTTTGTATCAACTACTTGATCTTTCTAACCACATAATTGTGTAGATTTCACATGTGGTTGTCTAATTGAAGTGGAAATTGAATTTCATTAGATATTGGTTGCAGTGTGATTTTTTTTTGTATCAACTACTTGATCTTTCTAACCACATAATTGTGTAGATTTCACATGTGGTTGTCTAATTGAAGTGGAAATTGAATTTCATTAGATATTTAACATGGATATGACAACACAAATGTTAGTAAACCTGATAATTTGGATGGATATTCAATATTACAAAAACAATTATGAAGATGAAAATTGTTTTAAGATGAATATTCAATCTTACAAAAACAATTATGATGTATTTTGTTTTATTTTCTTATGCAACAAGGTATCAATAAAGATGTTGAAAAGGACGATATAAATGATGAAATTCAAGAGGGCGTTGTAGGGGACGAATTTCAAGAGGATGACATAGATGTAGATGATGAATTTCAAGAGGACGATATAAATGGTGAAATTCAAGAGGACGATATAAATGGTGAAATTCAAGAGGACGACGTAAATGAAGAATTTCTGGAGGACAACATATGTGATGAATTTCAAGAGGACAATATGGATGATGAATTCCAAGAAGACAAACTTGAATGAGTTGGGTGATGTTTTTTTTTTCTTGCAGTTGAAAACACTAACTTAAATTATATTTTTTGTTATTTTGCTAGGGTCATACTTCAAAGTATTAAACTTATTATTATAAGTAATGTTACGTTAGGAATCATCGACTATATTATTTAGAAAATAATTACAAAATTGTATATTTTATGGAGACACTATAAAAACAATCCTTCAGATTCAGAAGGTGGGGACACTGTAAAAATAATCCTCCTTATTTTATGGGGACACTTTAAAAACAATTCTCTTGATTCAGATTTAAGACAACACTTACTAATTGTAGCCGCATTTGACAACACTTAAAAAGTGTCTCCTCAGAGGCCACGAATAATCGTCCCCTATTCTGTTTGTGGCAACACTTAAAAAGCGTCGTCTCATAGGCCACGAATAATCGTCCCCTATTCTTTTTGTGGAAATACTTAAAAAGCGTCGCCTTAGAGCTCAGGAATAATCGTCCCCTATTCCTTTTATTTAGGCGACGTTTTTAAAAGTCGTGCTCAAAGATCATGAAAAAACACTGTCTTAGACAATAAGCAACGCTCACACAGGAGACACCTATAAAACGCACCCCTATTCTTTTAGGCAACATTTTTCAGTTGTTGCTGGAGAGTCTAAATATTATAGTAATTTGCTCTAGCGAAAAAGATGAATATTATTCGGATTTTATTATCTCGTGATGCTCACTTCAGTTAGGAACTACACAAATTTAACATTAAAGATGAATTATTACATGAAAACTCAGAAGAATGAGGGTCTATATGGATATCTCAGCAGGGATGGGCTTCACAACCAACAAGATGTGTCGATTAAAGAAAACCTTATGTAGACTAAATTAACAGTTCCTCCGAGCACGATTTGAAATATTTTAAAAAAATAGTGTTCTTAGGCTATAATAAATAAATAAAATGAGATCACACTCTTTTATTCAAACATTCATAATAAAGAAATTTTATTGTTTATATTTTTTTATGTTGATAATATTATTATTGTGGAAGATGATTTGACTGAGAGACAGTAGGTCAACAAAAAAATATCAAAAGAGTTTGGAAGGGCATTGGTCAACTCAATCATTTTCTCTGTACCATCATATATATGGGTTAGGATTGAGTTTGGCAACTAAGCATTTCAACCAACTTATTTACAAATTTGAAATAATTTATATTCACTGACTAACATATAGACAAGTGTTGTAAATTATAGATTTTAAATACATTTATTTACATACAAATTACACTATATATATATATATATATATATATATATATATATATATATATATATATATATATATATATATATATATATATATATATATATATATATATATATATATATTTATTTGTATTTTCATCTGCAAAAAGACATTTATTTACGTACAAATTACACAAAAGACCGTTTTAAAATAACCAGGTTTACACACCACAAGCAGTAATATTAAATATTCGTATTAGAGGTAGAACCACTTATTCAAATGATGACACACAACGACATAAATAAGCTAAATGGGCCTGAATATCTTTTCTTTTGGGCCTTTCAAAGCTTGGCAATTAGCCCATTCTGACTAGGCTTGGCAGGCATGCCATTCTCCTTGTCATCCAAATCACTTGGGCTTGGAGGAACATCTATTGCTGGTGATGAGTTGAAAAACCCATGTGGCTGCATCATATGTATATGTACACAATAAGATTCATTTTTTATGTATTGTGAGCTCAAATTCTTGCATATTTTTGGGGTGCAAAGTGTTTCAATATCAATCTCTGACAAAATGACTTATAAGTTATAAGGTAAGGTGAATGGAAATACCATGAGCATAAAACCAATGTGCTCCACGGGCATTACAGGCCAGTCTTCCAGCCGAGGAATGTGTGTCACCCCAAATACATACCTAAAACATATCCACGAAATCATAATAATATTAAATGCTTAAATACATTTTTAGTCCATGTCACTTTTTTCATTTTTATCTATGTAATTTCCTTTTCGAGAAAATTTATGTAGTATTCGGTTTGTGTTCAATTATTCTATGATCATTGAATCTATGAATGCATGTTATCATTGATATCATATTTCGGGGAAATAATGAATGAACAAACTAACCAAAGAACTATATCAGCTTCTTCCAGTGATCGATTTTGCTTAACCCAAGTAGCCAAACCCTCTCCAGCGCGGGGATTTTGATTCGGGAACTCTCCACCAGGATGCAATTCGTCGCGTGCATAAGGAGTAACCCAAAGATTGTGCTTCAAGAAAGCTGCTCTTCTCAAAAACTTAGCCTCTGATCCGGCTAAAGGTAAACAATTTGAACCAGGAACTAGTTTGTAACCAGTTAGATTACCGGTTCGGTTCACACTCCTCGTGTTCCTAACCTGAAAACAGAACATGTACTTGAGCAACTCTAGGTAATGCTAGAGTTTCTTGTAAGACAAGTAAAATGAGTAATTCAAGGTTAATAGCTTAACAATATATACACATAGTGAATATGGTTTGCAGGAAAATGCACTTGAAAAACTTTGCAGCATCTTCTATAACTTACAGAACAGAAGACGCATAGAACAGCATCCAGATTTGAAATTTATAGAGACTGTCCCTGTTACAATTTCTACAGTGGAGTGTGACAGAGAGCAGGCCATATGACAAAATAATTAACTTATGATACCTTTTCTTTTGATTTTTTCAGGGATAAAAAATGAAGGAAAAAAAAACTTACAATCCAATGACGAGCAGATAAAGGGTCACAATCACGCATTGCTTCTAACTCTGATTTAAGCAGTTTTTCCTCAGCATAAAATGCATTGTTGTGAACATTATTCTTTCCCGGCTCTTCAACTTTGACGTTCACCTCAACGACCTAGGCAGATAGACGGAGGATATCTGTTTTATTTATATTTCTCCATCGTATATCTACTCAAAATCATGCAGGTTTTTTCAGGACCTAATATAGGTCTCGACCCAAAATATGATTGCGTGCTGACCTGATTAAATGCTTCACCGGGCTTGCAATCAACTGCCATATCCATACGAGCAACAAAAAAGTGTTGGTGGACAGGCGCATATAATCCAGGTGCAATAGTTGTGCCATATTTTCGAGTTTCTCCTTGTTGCAATGCGCCTAAGCTGAGAATTCCTGTGAGCTTGACCTCAGCTTCTATTTTTCCGTCCTGCAAGGAGGAAATCACAAATGAATAGTTACAGATAAATCAAACTCTCGTGCTTGATGTTGAAACATTTGCATGGATAATTGACTTGCCTGATAAAAATGCCAGTAAAATCCATACTCATAGTTAGCCACAGTGCATACAAAAGATACTGTTAGCCTTCTTGACCGTCGAACTTCAGCTAAACCTGTTCTCCAATCTTGATGCTTCCATAACATACCATGATCTTCTTCATGCATGCAAACACAATTCTCTATAGTTTCGACGCCTCCATAAAAGTTTGTAAAGTGCGCATTGAAGTACTTGATATAGCCTAAACAATCACAACCCTGAAATAACGGCATTGTGAAAAAACAGATTCGATTGCGTGTAAACCGAAAAAATTAAAAGGAAAGCAAATGAAGATATGAATGAATCGTTAGAACATAGAAAAATAAATACAATGACCTTCTTGAGTGAATGAGCATTTTTACCGAGGCCATCTTCCCCGGCATCAAATGCGTTTTTCCTATAGTGAGGATCATTTGGATCTCCATAAGGGACGACCATCTCAACAAAACTCAACCTGTGGGCCACAGGCCTTCGACCACGACTTCCATCAACATATGCTACTGAATAAATAACCATACCCTCCCTAGGAGTGAATCCAATACGAAAGTTCCACTGCGAAAAACAGACTATTAGTTTTAGCATTTCTCAATGTTGTTTGCTCATATGAAATAATTGTAGAAAAAGTACATAGACAAATAACCACCTTCTGCCATTGAACGAAGTGTCCATTAACACGAAAACTTGGACCATCCGGCTGAATAATCTGTAAGGGTTTCACATCACTTCGGTCAACTCCTCCTCGAGTTTCACCAGAAGTATAATTTCTTAAAGGATCGGCTTGTGGTAGGGGGACAAGTTTACGATCTTCGAACTCTAGGACAACCATATTTTGCATGTCAACCAGTACATGTATCCCTTCAACCGGACGGGCATAGCCATTTTCCATAGGACAGTCACTCTCAGTCCTACAAAAGAATAGCGGTTTAGCAAGTCTGCGGCTTGGAGCATCAGCTTCACTGTGATATCCGGCACACCTATGTTTCAACATAACAAGTATTAGAGAAATAAATGGATGAAACAAATTGAAACATGTCAAGGAAATTAGCTAACCAAGGATCCACCATCACAAGATCCATATCTTCAATTCCTCTCTTCTTCATCGCCTCTCGAAATGGAGGAAAGTCCTTTACAACAGCTTCACATTCAGCATACTCCACCGCATCCTATAGTTGCACAGTAAACAATGCAAACAAACAATTTTGAATAGGTTATAGGTTCTATTAAAAATCCTAATTTTTCAAAGCCATTCAAATTGATTAAAGTTGTATATTTACCATCGGAGGCTGAACATCTGGAACAACGGTAGAAGAAATCACTTTTCCCCTATGATGTCCACCGCGAGTTGTTGCATGAACTTCTGTTAGTTCAACAATCCATATGCTTGTCTCATTTGACTTCTTGTTATAGACAACCAATCTCGCTTTCCTTGGAGGAAGTCTCGATGGAATCACAGGTCCGCCTTTTGTCCTAGGGAGCAACGAGGGCTGGAATGGAGGAAAGAAGTATGCATCTGCTAATGCAACAACTTGCTTTTCTGGTTCTACCAAGTCTACTTCGATGAAGCGCATGCTATCCCTCACCTAACAACAACATTATAAAAGACATTTATAAGCAAGAAAACTCAAGAAAAATCTACACCAAAAGAGGAAAGTGTTTAATGTACCTCAGGTGTTGCTCCGGCTGCTCGAACAGTTGCTACAGCTACGGATATTTCAGCAGCAAGAAGAGGATCCAAAGGATGGCAAGTTTGAGCTCTCGCCATTACTGTAATACCTATGTCAGAGGAAATGGTTTTTTTTCTATCTTTTAATTCTGATAGAAGAAAAAATTTCATTGAAGAGAAATAGAAGTTAAACTAGGCAGCAAAGATCAAGAATAACAGCAAAAAACAGCCATGAAAAAAGCAGGCTTAAAACTTAGTATACAACAAGGCTTCCTAAGCCTCCTGCAACACAAAATACAGCAGCAAAATTGAAGCACTCATGAATGAACACCACAGCGATTCTAAAGTCGTAATTATGTCCCAATCAAAATTTCGGGGGTTAGAAAATAGAAAAAACAGTTGTGTTATTTGAACAACTAAATTTTGACAACTTTCAAGTATTATAGCTATGAAGATCAGTGCCTAATCTTATTGGATAACATGTCGAACACCTCAGAAAAAAGGTGTATTCATGTCGAACATCAACAGGACACGATACCGATAGTTGTAATTACATCCAATTTATAAATTTTTTCAAATATTTTCAGTGTCAACGTGTCAGCGCCGTGTCAGTATTTCATAGCTGGACACAAAGTAAGTTCTCCCTCCCAGTCGGATATTCAACCCTAAACCCTTACTACATGGATCAATCACATGATGGTTACTAGTACTAACTTGTGCTTTACTTACACATAGTAAAATTTCACTAAAAATAAAACTACTTTGATACACTAAGTAACTTGTTTAATCAACCCAAACAACTCAAATTAGAAACTCTTTCTATTCCTTCTAATAATTCATTATCAACATCTATAATCCTAAATCAAAGTCCGCAACCACAATTGCAGCTGCCTCCAATCCAACGGCATTTTAATGCAATAGTGCAACAACCACAACAGAAATTTTAAAACCATTCCAATTTTATATGATCAAGTCAAACACCAAACTATCACAGAAAAAATAAATTTAAAGAAGCAAAAAAGTAACCTTTGGTAGAAGCGGTTTTGGGAGGAGGATCATTAGAAGAGGTTGCAATAGGAGCAGGTTTTTGACAACAAATAGGCGTCGTTTTTTCCTCAACTGTGGCCATTGCAAAGGATTAGCGAGCTCAACGTTGTAAATTCCACTGTAATATTCCACTGACATACAGTAATTATAATCACTCTTGTTTCACCTTCCTTCCACCACCACCACTCACTGCCAAAGATCAACACAAACCAGCACTAACAGAAAACACTCTCACTGTTTTGAAGTAATAGCTATAGGTAGAAATAATGAGGAGTTGTGATTGGATGAAAGATAGTTAGTTAGTTATATATAAGCATAAAGCAAGGTAGAACCAACACTTATATAAAAAGGTGTGTATCCGTGTCGTGTCGAACATATGCACTGATATTTGTTATCACGTCTAATTTATTTAATTTTTAAATTATTATCTGTGTTTCCGTTTCAATATCGAAATCGTTTTTGGTGTGTCGTGGGGCTTTCTGGTATATGAGTGATACTTGAATGGATTACAGCAAGAAGATGAAAGAGATGGTTAAGTGGGGTCCAAAAATAAAAGAAGGAATGATGAGTTAAAATGGTTAAGGTAGGAATATGAGTGGGGAATGGATTAAGAGGAAAAAGACAAGGTTGCCAAATCAGATAGTTAGCCACTATTAATATCAGACAATAACACAACACCCAAAATGGATGGAATGAAGCATTTACTGTATTGTACTAATAATGCAATTCAAATAATGGCATGATGTGGGACCTTTTTCTTTTAAATGATTAAATTAAATAAGATTAGGGAGGAAGCATATCTAACGAATATGAGGTGTTATAAGGTTCAATTAGTAATGGTGTGTTTTTTTAATGAGGAAAGTGGATAAAAATTGTGAATGAGATACCATAAATGTATTAATGATGGTGAAATATTTTTATTGTACTACTTTGTTAAAAAGTATAGAATACCGCGATATGTTAGTAGGGATAGTTGAATACTTTAATAGTTTTTTATGGGTTTAAGGTTATTCACGATGGTGAGAGATCTTGTTTGAGATCTTTTATGGTGATGAGAGAGCATGCTCACGTGAGGTGAGAAGCTTTGTAACTTTATGGTGTATGATATGTGTTATTACGATCTGTCTTTTTTTTGTTGCTAAGAATAAAGTATTTATAAAGGTTTTGGGCCTGTAGTTAGGGTTTTCTTGGAAACGATAACCGTCCCATTAGTCAGTAGTGGATCGTTGAATCCTTATTTCTAAACAGACGTGGATTAGTCTGCAGACCCTGACTTTTCTCTGACCGAGGAATGTCTTTTACCACATTTTCATGATTGGGCGAGATAATCCCAAATTGTGGGCGACATATGAGAGTCACCTCTCATAGGTAGTTGTAATCCTCACGCCTTTAGTATGCTTTTTACAAATATATAACTACATAGTCCCTTAAGCAAAAGGACTTTGATAAAGAACGAAGTGCTTTAAACGACAGAGCTTAGGGACATAAGTCTCACGAGAGAGGTTATATGTTTAGCCTGTCTGCTGAGACTCTAATTCCTTCAGGCGAGACGTTAAGCCCATCGGGCAGGACTTCGATCAAGCCCTCAAACATGACTTTAAGCTAAGTTTCTCGGGTCAGAGTTCGGTCGAGTCCCTTGGGCAAGATCTTAGAGTGAACCTTGTCTGAGGCAACATCAAGTCCTTCAGGCGAGGTGTTTTATATGAGCCTATTTGATGAGACTGTCAGTTCCTAAAACAAGATCATATATTGAGCCTGCCTGATGAGATTCAAAGTCCTTTAGGCGAGGCGTTGATCCCATCGGGCGGGAATTCAACCAGACCCTCAAACAAAACTTTAAGTTAAGTCTCCTAGGTCAGACTCCATTCGTGTTTCTTAGGCAAAACCTTAAGTTAGGTCTTGTCTGAGCCGACTTCAAGTCTCTCATGCGAGGTATTTTCGATGAGCCTGTTTATTAAGATTCTTAGTCCCCCCAGGCGAGATTATATATTGAATATATCTAATGAGACTCCAAGTCTACCCATGTGAGATCATATGTCGAACTTGTCTGATGAGACTCTAAGTCCCTTAGACGAGGCGTTGAGCTCTCGGGTGGGCCTTTGATCAAGCCCTCAAACAAGACTTTAAGTTAAGTCTCTTGGGCCAGACTCTAGTTGCGTCACTTGGGAAGGGACTTTGGGTGTACCTCGTCTGAGGCGACATCAAGTCCCTCACGTAAGGCATTTTAGACGAGATTATTTGATGAGACTCTCAGTCCCCCAAGAGAGATCGTATATTGAACATGTCTGATGAGACTTTAAGTCTCTTATTCAAGGTGTTGAACCCTGTTAGAACAAGATTTATTCATGACATATCTTTCTTGGGTTTTGATGATAACAAAGTATTGAAAGAATAATGGTTTATTTGATGTGTGTTACATGTGTGCATGTTTACTACTTGTAAATATTATAGTCAGAATCTGTATTACATTAAGCACACTTTGAGAGTTGCTGAATTGATAGCTTTTGGTGGTAGAATCTGAAGAGTTTTGATTTTGAAGTCTAACTTCCATGTATAAAGCCTACAAGGGGGCTAGGTTAACTGTGAATTTTCCTTGTACCAAGTTCAAGTGGAGGCTAGGTTTGAAGTTGAAGCTTCATAATGTTTTTGTGTTATAAACATAAAGGGAAAAGCTAAAAAGTTTGCTCTCTAGGATATTGCAATCCTATGCCTACATATCCTTAAGAAGGAAGTCAAAGCAATTATAGTTCATACATAAGCCCAAAGTGTAAAAAATGTCAAGAGAAACTTAACAAGGTAAATTTATTCAAGCTTTTAAACAAGTGTGGTCATCGAGGATGACATGAGTGTGATATGAGTAAGTATGTGTAACAACATGTGAATGTACATAAAATAAAGAGATATATCTATCATGGTAAGAATTTATGAAGGAAATACTTGAACATGTGAGCAAAGATTTAATCAATGGAAGTAATCACAGGAGAATTCAAGCAAGCATATATACAAAATGAATTGAGGATCCAATGAATATAGTAAGGGTAAACAAAACTCTAATGGAAGTTTATAAAGAGAAGTACAGGAGCTAAACATTCAAACATGGTTGAATCAAGGGCTTTGGGGAATCCAAACTCAAGTGGAAGCCTTAACTATGTACAAAGAGTTTTGAAAGTTTAATCAAAGTGAAAAACCTAACTAAACTTTTAATCAAAAGTATTTTCAAAAAGGAAAATCAATTAAACAAGATATTAATGGTGTTCAAGTTAAGACAAACATGTTATGTACATTTAACAAAACTTAAGCAAAGTATATCATGATAATGTAAGTTCATATGATCAATTAGGTTAAGAGAAAAATCAAAAGGAAGTCATTAAAAGTTTGAAAATACTTTAAAATGAACCATTTTTCAACTTAATGAAAACGTGTTAAATAAAAATTATTTTTGAAATTTTTTAATATATTCATAAAATAGGATATATGAACAAAAAGTGTGCAAAAACTCAATTAAAAATAATGAATTTTTCTATGTGAAATAAATATGTGAAGTTTGTAAAAAAAATGAAGAAAATAGGTGATTAAAAAGAAGGAATGACCCTCCCAAGGTTTGAACCTGAACCCTTGGGGTGGAGAGCTCAAAATCTTACCAACTGAGCCATGTGCTATGGGTGTTAATATGGCACGTGATGAAATAATAGTGAGTTTTCAAATGAAAATGTTTAAAAAAATAAAAGCCAAAGGGTCTGGGACGACGGGGATTCGAACCTCAGACCTCACACTCACAAGCCTCTCAAACACATGCTTTAACCACTGGAGTGGTGATACATCTGTGTATCAAACCACACCCATTTAATTATATAGTAAAACAACTTAAATTTTAGAAATGGTGCCACAACCATTGTCATCTTCCTCGTTCTTCATCAGATTTGTAAATTTCTATCTCCCTCAATACGCAACCAAATTGAATGAAACAAAAATGAAAGTTGTTGGATTTTTTAAGAGGAATTTAATACTTCTTTTTAATTTCATTTAAATTCAGTATATTCAAAGATATTGATTTGAAAATTGTATGAAACCTAACTGAAATTTTTAAAATGAAATCTCATATAATTATGATAAATGGAAATTAATTGAGGGAAAATTATTACAATATCATGATAATTCTGTCTGTAATTTGAATGATCAAATTTGATGCATGAATCATAGAGTTCAGGTTTTAAGGAAACTTACCTTGTAAGTGAGAGTTGAATTCCCTGTTGGAGGTGTTATATATGTGTTTTTATGATTCAGATAGCTTCCTTGACCTCCAAGGAGTGTGTTACAATGCTTAGAAGGGATAGAAACCTTCTAAATTACTTGGCTCGATTCAAACTACAGCTTATGATGTATGTGAAGCAAATGGCATGTAACTTGGTGATTCTGGTGTTACAGTTGAGGTTTGAGTGTTTAGATCACTTACACATGATGTATGTGAAGTGTTTGTATGCTTGATTTGAATGGAAATGGACTGGTTTGAGAATTCCAAGTTTTCACTCTTTAAGAACTTTGAACTTAGCAAGGAGGAGGAGTCGAGAAAAAACAAGCATTGGCAATTTTTTGGTCTGATTATTGTGAAGGACCTCTATTTATAGGATAAATGAGAATGATATTTTGAACTTGAAAGGATTGTGATGCAAGCCATTATCCAATAAGTGATGTCATGCACCTATAACTTGAAAGCCAAGGTACATAAGGGCTATTATTCACATGGCTTGAATTCTGATCTTTTAAGCTTGGTTCCTCATGGTTTCATCCCATCCCTTGATGCTCTGATCAAGTTCTAATAGATTGGAGGATTTTTGCCCAAAATCACTATTCCACTTTAATGCCAGAGGACAAAACTTCACTTCCAAGCTTTTGAAATGATCATTTTCACATGCCAAGAGATGAACTTTGAAAATTCAGTTATGCTTTGCAAAGCACTTACTTGTATGATCATTAGGAGTTGATATTTTGAAGATTTCAGGTTTGCAAGACTTATCCAAATCGTGTGAAACAAACATGTTGCAAATCTGCCTTAAAACTTCAGCTTGGTCAAGCCCTATTGAG